CGAACAGCAGGAGCTCGAGAGCCTCAGCCAGGTGCGGGTGGCACCAGCGGGCGGCGGGGGCTCAGGAGGCTGGGTGAGCCAGGTGGGGAAGGGGGTCTATCTGGCTAGCACACCCCGGGCTTTAAGGCCCAGCTCTGGGTCTCAGAATTCATCTCTGAATTCTTGGTGCTCAAGAAATATTTGTCTCCCTGAGCTGAGAAGGGAGAGACCCCAGGAGGCTCGGCTCAGGACGAGTCAAGAAGGGAGGTCAGCAGGCGGGGTCAGGAGGATCTGAACCCCTTGCACCCTGCTCCCGCCAGGACCCGCGGCAGTACGAGGAGTGGAAGTGGTTCCGCTGCCCCACGCTGCTGGAGGTGCTGGAGCAGTTCCCATCTGTGGCCCTGCCCGCACCGCTGCTCCTCACCCAGCTGCCCCTGCTCCAGCCCCGGTACTACTCAGTCAGCTCGGCACCCAGCGCCCACCCAGGAGAGATCCACCTCACAGTAGCTGTGCTAGCATACAGGACACAGGGTGAGGTGACAGAGGGCCAGGGGCCAGGGCCACACGGTGACCCCGGTACGGGCTCCTCATTGGCACCCTCTCCTCCGCAACCCCCAGACGGACTGGGCCCCCTTCATTATGGAGTCTGCTCCACGTGGCTGAGCCAGCTGAAGGCCGGGGATCCTGTACCCTGCTTCATCAGGGGGTAAGTGAGGGCTTCAGGGGATGGAGGTGGAAGGGGCATGGAAAAGAAAGCGTCTGTCCCAGCAGGGGTGGACAAAGTGCCACATGGATAGCCAGGGACAGATGGAGGAATCGGCAGGTGGCAGCACAGGGTGAGGGCGAGAGCTCTGGTGAGGGGTATGATGGGGAGCAGGGAGGACCCACCTAACACATACAAGGACGGGGAACTTCAACAAAGCTTTGGGTGTTTCACTAATTTGGACTTAGGGCCCTGTCCCAAAGCTTCCCCTCCCAGAGACAGGGCTGGGAGTCGACCTGCAGGCCCTGCTGCTTTTAGGTAAACTATGTCCCTCACTACATCCTTCAGGTCAGTCTGATACTGGGAGGTGTGGCACTTGGGAACTGTGCCCCTATTCAAGGTCAGGTCCCCACTTAGTCCAGGGAGAACAAGTAAGGTCTCCATAGCATCATTGGGGACTCAAAGAAAGTAAAAGAGTGCAGGATACCCTTCCCTGATGCTGGGTTCAAAAGCCTTGCCTCATCCAGCAGCCAGGACCCAAAGCCTCGGGGCGGGCAGGGGGAGCAGTGGGGACTTAAAAGAATTCCCAGAACAGACACCAGTTATGTCCAGTAACTCAAACCCATTGAGGAGGCTATATCCCAAACTGTACCAATCCACTGAACAAACCAAATACCAACATCAAGGCTAGAATTTAAAATAAACACTCATTGAACGCCTTATGAACCAAAAGCTGTCTTTCCCTTCCCATATGTTGTAAATCTCCAACTGAGATATCAGAACATTCTTCAGTTCAAATTAAATCCTATTCCCTTGGACCCAGCCTCCAGAAACACATGTCCGTGGAGTTTCTGCCTGCAGGTAGAGTTCTTTGCATAAACACACCATGCCCACTCTGAGCTAGACTGTGTCGTGAGCATTTGACAACCATTTGCCAACGAATGTTGAGTTCTCCTCTCTCCCCGCAGTCCACGATGGTAAGAATGTGGGAGGTGGGAAAGCACAGAGGCCTGACACAGTGTCCCTCCACTAGGGCTCCCTCCTTCCGGCTGCCGCCTGACCCCACCTTGCCCTGCATCCTAGTGGGCCCTGGCACAGGTATTGCCCCCTTCAGGGGATTTTGGCAGGAGCGGCTGCATGACATTGACAGCAAAGGTGAGACTGGGGGCCAGGGGAATGAATGGAGGGCAGGAGGAAGTCACACAATCTAGGGGGAAAGGGACAGGGACTAGATGACAGAAGCCAGGTAGGAAGGAGGGCAAGCAATGGGCCACAGAGGTGAAAAGAAGCTTATTAGACCAAGGGGTGGGCAGTGCCCTGCTGGTCTGGCTTCCTGGAGCCAGACACAAAGTAGGTGTGGAAACTGGGTTAAGGACAAGGGGACAAGGGGAACTGAAAATCTGCAGAGGATGGGGCCGGGACTCAGAAGGCAGAAATGCCCAGAGTGTACTTGGGACTGTGCCAGAGTTCAGCTACGTGTGTCCAAGACTCACGAAGCCACAAGATGTTCAGGCTGGACACAGGGGCTTAAGGCAGCTGATAAATCGAAAGAAAGGGGCTGTGACTGATAGGAAGGCAGATGATGTGTAAGGTGAGGACGTGGGGAAAAGGGCTAGATGGAGTCCCCGAACTTCTGTGTTAGACGGTGCCCAGGGCTTGGAATTCCAAGTCAGAAGCCCCACGTTCTAGTGCAATGCTACCACTGGTCATTCCACCGGAAGAGCCACCACCTCCTGTGCGCTGCTCTTCTGTGAGCCTCCTCTCTGGAAACCAGAGTCAGACAGGGTCTCTGAGAGCATCCTGCACTCTCCTGGAGGCTAGACGGCCGTGAGTGGTAGTTGCTATTCGAAAGGCACGGGCTGTCCGCCTGGGCGAGGCCAGCCAGCGGGAGGTGTCGCTAGGGCTGCGGCCCGGGGAGAGGACGCTCCCAAGCCGCAGCGCTGCCCGCAGGCCTGCAGCCCGCCCCCATGACTTTGGTGTTCGGCTGCCGATGCTCCCAGCTCGACCACCTTTACCGCGACGAGGTGCAGGATGCCCAGGAGCGCGGAGTTTTCGGGCGCGTCCTCACCGCCTTCTCCCGGGAGCCCGACAGCCCTAAGGTGCGACACCCTGAGGGAGCGGGGGTAACCTGAGACTAGGCACCCCGGGAGGGCGGAGGGGCGCTCCGGGGAGAGGGGAGGGGCGTGCGCAAGCCCGGCCCCGCCCCCTCTAGGGCGCACCCTCCGCCCCGCCCCTCGGCTCCCGCCCCGCCCGCGGACTCAGGCACCCGCCCCCACTCGGCGCCTCCCGCGTGCCTCCCGGGCTCCCTCACCTTCGCCCTAGCCCCGCCCCTGGCTTGGCTCCACCTCTCCAGACCCCGCGCCCCGCACTTAGGCGCCGCCTGGCCCGCGGAAAAACTGTTAGCACCCGGGCCGGACCCCCACCCCCCAAAGCCCCCCAGAGCACGCCCCTAACCCCGGCTCCCCTCAGACCTACGTGCAGGACATCCTGCGGACGGAGCTGGCTGCTGAGGTGCACCGCGTGCTGTGCCTCGAGCGGGGCCACATGTTTGTGTGCGGCGACGTCACCATGGCAACCAGCGTTCTGCAGACGGTGCAGCGTATCCTAGCGACGGAGGGCGACATGGAGCTCGACGAGGCCGGCGACGTCATCGGCGTGCTGCGGGTGCGGGGGGCGGGGCCATGCCGGGGCGGGGTCATGCCCGGGGCGGGGCCCGCTCCTACTTGGATCCCACCTCCGTTCTGGCCCTCTTCCCCCGCAGGATCAGCAACGCTATCACGAGGACATTTTCGGGCTCACACTGCGCACCCAGGAGGTGACAAGCCGCATACGCACCCAGAGCTTTTCCTTGCAGGAGCGACATCTGCGGGGCGCAGTGCCCTGGGCGTTCGACCCGCCCGGGCCAGACACCCCCAGCCCCTGAGAGCCCTCGTTTTCCATCCCAGTTCCGGGAGAGGAGCCGTCAGTCCACCCCGGCTCTGCCGCTCTCCTGGCGGCGTTACCAGACCAGCCACCTCTCCCCTCCTGAGGTGCCTTCCCATCTTTGTCCGGAATCTGCCCTAAGTTGCTTATTCCCGGGAATGAGCGAAATGTCCCTCTCTAGGTCTGTTTACTTGCCCCGGGTCCGGAGGCCCCCTCCCAGGGCCAACTGTCATCCCTTTTGTGTTCCTTAGGTGAGTTTTAGATTCCCTTTATCTCTCTCAGGAGTACCTTATCTTGAAACCTAATCTCTAAATGATTCAAATATTTATTATTGAAGATTCACCATAAGAGACGGGACCAGATGTTATGAGAGCTTCTAAGATGCCTAACCCAGCCCCGTTGATTAAAACTACAGAACGACAAGCTTTGTCTTTTAATTTGTGCAGATCGAGGTCGTGGTAATTCTTTGGAAGGCGGTCCTAGCCTACATACTCCACTCTGACCCAGCGCTCTAGAAATGTGGTTTCCAGCCAATCAGAGCACGGTGTTGCTTCTTTGCTCTTGATTGAGAAGCAGGTACAGCCCTCAGCTGCCAGGAGTGGGAATGCCAGAGACTAAGGTCACAAAGATGTGCGACACAGCTCTGAGCAACCTTTACTGCGGGTTTCAAGCAGGAAGAGGAGACACACCTACTTCCTCTGACATCACATCAGTGCTGAACTCCAAAAACATCAGCCCTCCGTACTCTTTCCACTCACAATTCCCCACAGCTCTCCTCCACAAGTCCCACGGGACCCTGAAGGCCAGGCTGGCTTGGAGAGCACACTGCCATCAGGTCCCGTCTCTCTGTTTCCCTTACATTTAGCTAGGCCTCTACCTTGGCCCTGTCCTCCACCCTAAGGATACCTGGCGATTGCCTCCCAGCCAGATGGTCAAGAACAGCTAGTTGGGGTGGTATCCCCTCAGCTCCTCCAGGTGGGGATCATCTCTGAGACTTGTTTCCAGATCTTTTGGCATCTCCTCTCCTACCCTTTCTTTGCTCTCTGGGGTGAGCTCATCACTAACATCCCCCAACTCCTGCCCAACTAAAGCCTCCTTAGGCCTCCGGTCTGGGGGGGGGTGGGTCTCTCTAAAGAAGGCTCAGCATCATGTCCTTCCACTCCATCTTGTCTGATCTCCTACAGCTGGATAAGCCAGGGAACCTGGGGGAGAAGAAGGCTCTTGGCAAGCATTTCAGCGGTTTAGGTTGCAAAGATGACCATCCCCATCACCCTGAATTCCCACCACTGCCCCCATCCCTCCAAGTGTGGCTCCACCCAATTTTTTGTTCATTCCCCAGCTCCCACCCACCCTACCCTCTCACTCTATTAGACAACACTGACCCCGAGGAGCCCTCTCAGTCAGTGCTAGGGGCCAGACCAGGCTCCTTCTGGGTGTCCGTGGTCTCCTGAAACCTTCCAGGGAGCAGATTCTGGGTCCTCTGGGTTCTCCACTGCTGTCTGGGGCTGGAGGCAGGACTAGAGCCTGGTGAGAAAAGCCATCAGCTGGCTGGTGTGGTGAAGCCCACTGTCCCCCCAGGGTCTGTCCCCTGCACACCCTGACCACCTCACCATCACTTGACCAGGATGGCTTCTCCTCGTCAGGCGAGAGTGTCTGGGAGGGGCTGGACCAGGGCCTGGACAGGGAAGAGGCTGAAGCCTCACCCCACAGTTCCTGCTGCTGCTGCTGATGGAGCTATATGGAAGGAAGAGGAATGACAGGCTCTCTTGTGCCCCACAGTGGGAAACCCAACCCCTGGACTAGGGGCAGAGGCTTTTCAGATCTCCTCTTTCAGCTCCTACCAAGTATTTCTTTACACTCTACCCCCCACACACACACACCCATCTCCATTTCATTCAGCTGCTTTCTCCCCACATTTCTCTTTCTGGCAACCCTCGGCTCACCTGGTGCAGGTAGATGGCATGAAGACTCATTTCAGCAGAAGCAAGTTCTGGAAGCTGGGCCAACTTCTGGCCCCCAGTGCCTCCTGGGGACACACAGCTGGAACAGAGGACACAGTACACCAAAAACATGCCCCTCCCCCCTGCACCCCTCAATGAGAGTCCAACTTGATCTCCCCTTCCCAAGGTCCCTGCAGACTCCTCCTGGAGGACAAGCTCCCCCCACCCCCCCACCGCCCCACTGCTGCTGTGCCTCTCCCACCTCCCCGCTCTAACCTCGGGTCCTGGGCAAGGCGGGAAATGGAGGCCAAGAGGCTGGCTGTGGCTGCAGCTGGGCAGGGGGCTGTGGGGCTCAGGTCCCGTGGGGGCAGGAGGGGCTGCCCCAAGAGGTTGGCCAGGAAGGCCTCGGGCTGGGAGCAAGAGAAGAGGGCATCAGAAGAGAGGACAGAAGTGGAGGGAGGAGGCCTAGGAAAGGCCTGAGAGCAAGCTAGACCAGGGAGCGGGTTAATACAGAACGTGAGATGGACCGGAGGGCCTGGCAGTGGTCAAGACAGAAGTGCCGCCCAGGCTGCAACTCACCAGAGGTGAGGAAGAGTCGCTGAGCATCCCAGGCGTGGGGGGGCTGCGAACGGAGGTGGCGCCCCAGGCTGCGGCATCTTGTTGTACCCTGCCCCGAAGGTGCCCCAGGAACTTGGAGCTGTGCCCTGGGGGGCGCCATTGTGGGTGGGCCAGGGAGAACCGCATCAAGGAGAGCTCAGTCTTTCCATCTTCTGCGCGCTGAGACAGGGAGGCCTCTGTCTGGCCGGCTGAGAGCCACTGAGAACAAAATCAGCCAGTCATCCAGATGCTGTGGACACTGCTTTTATAGCTTCGGTGGAAGCCTTGTGGGGTAGGCGAGACAGGAAACACCGGCCGCTCCCCAGGTCAAAGACCAGACGCTATGATGGGGACTTGCTCAAGATCACCCAAGAACACAGCAGCAAAGCAGGACCTGGGTCCAGAGCCAGCGCTAGTGGAGGGCGTGGGCTTAGCGTCTTCCCAGCCTGTTCGCACTGGACCCCAGGGCTGGCCTGACTGTCTTCTTCCAGCCCCTCCTACGCCCAGCTCATACCTCCACCTCTCGGCAGTCTTGCCTCCCACGTACTGGAGTTTCAATGTGCTGAGAGCTCTGTCAGCTTCTGTACACATCCTCTCCTTAATCCTCGCAGCCCTGTGCCTTAGCTACAGTCACTGTCCTTGTTTGACTGATACAGACACTCGGGTGTGAGGAAGTGACTAGCTTCCTCACTGGTCACTGGTGGCAAACGATGAGCGTGGCATGGAACCCAGCTCTGCTCTGAGCGAGGCAAGCACAGCCCTGCCCACCCACAACCCCACACAGCCAGGGATGGGCTCTAACCTGAGGGTGCCCGTGGCGCTTCACATCCATAAGGGCAAAGGAACAGATGTCCCCAACGCCAGCCACATCCACAGTGAAATGATGAAAAAAGTCAATGATCTCCAGAGAACGAGGGGAGAACCAGAAGAGCAGAAACAGTGGAGTGAGGAGAGGGGACAGAAGCTCCTCCAGGAGGGAGACCTGGGGAAGCAAGATGAAACTCAGAAGGGGTTGCCAAGGGGTCCCACGCTGGCGATCAGGACCAAGAGATCCCCCGGGGCCGCCGGCCGAGGACCGGAAACCTCTAAGCCAGACGCCTCCCGGCTCCCGGGATGGCCAGCCCCGCGAGCCGAGCCCGTAGGTCCTCAGCTCTCTCTAGGGCGCCCGCGGGCTGCACCGCTGTCTCCGCAGCCCCTCTTCGGGCCGGACCCTCACCGCTCGGTACTGCAACAGCCGCGCCATCTGCCGGTAAGCGCTGGCCTTGCCCGCGGGGCCGGGCTCCTCCGGGAGGTAGTGCATGTGTGCCAAAGCCGCCTGCAGCAGGAACTTCGGGGAGCGACTCCAGCCCTGCTCTTCCGGAATGAAAGACCTGAAGGGCGGGATGGGGGTGGAGAAGGGGCCTGCGGTCAGGACGTACGGACCGGCGGCAGGGCTGCGCGGCGCCAACGGCGGGAGGGGTAGGGACTCGCGGGAGAGTCGCCCCTCCATCCCCGGTCAGAGGCAGGCCCCCCTCCTCTCTGGACAAGCTCCCCAGCACCTGGCCACGGTGGCCGTGACCCCGAGCGCGGTCATGGCGGTGAGCACGTGCTCCACGGCCAGCACGTCCTCGTCGTAGACGGTGAGCACGAGCAGCGCGGCGAAGAGCGCGCCGGCGAAGAAGACGAGCTGGCGGGCCAGCAGCGCCAGCAGGGGTGCGGGGGGCGCGGCGGCGCGTAGGAAGGCGGCGGCCGGCCGGTAGGCGCGGGCCAGGCGCGCGCGCAGCTCGTGCGGCAGCTCGTTGAAGTGGCGCAGCTGCAGGTGGGCCAGGCGGGACCAGCGGCGCGCCCCCAGCGCCCCCGGCTCGCGCCGCAGCAGCTCGGCGTGGCTGTAGAAGGCGTGCAGCACCTGCCAGGCCAGCACCAGCGGGCTTAGCGCCAGGTTCACGGCGGCCAGCAGCAGCACCGTGCGCCGCCAGCGCGCGGCCAGGGCGCCCCGCTGCTCGCTGCGCTTGTAGGCGTCGGGCAGCTCCCAGCCCCCGCGGAAGAGCGAGAAGGGCCCGCGGAAGAGCAGCAGATCGACGTTGAGCGCCAGGCCGCGGCTGAGGAAGGCCGCACTGCCGCCCCAGGGCAGCGCGCAGCGGGCGGGCAGCAGGCCCTTGTTGGCCAGCGCCACCTTGTAGTTGGTGTAGCGCAGGATCCGGTGGTGCACGTCGAGCTCGGTCAGCGGCCGCGGCTGCACGCACAGCCCCCCGCTCTTCTGCAGCGCCAGCAGGCGGGACTGCACCTCGGCCCAGGGCACCGAGCTGAGCTCCTCCTGGGGAGAGGGCACCGTTGAGCGCCAGGGACCTGGATTCCCTGGCACCGCAATGCCCACATTTGATGACCGGAGCTACAGTCCTCATTTGCCCTCTCCCCACCTTGCTCTGCCGGTGTCCTTCAAGGCATCAGACCTGCCACCTTTCCCTTTCTGCCCTCTCTTGCCCTCCCCTGACTTTGTCGCTAACAATCAGGACATTTCTTACTTCCTTTCATCCTCTTCTGAACTGTGTTCCTCCTGCCCCTGCCTCTCCTGAGGCCATGAGTCAAGTGACAAACACCTCATCATTTAACTTCTTCAGGTATCTGATCTCAGCTCCCGAAGAGCAGATAGTCTGGACCCTCCCCCTCTGCCCGGAAGTTCTTCACCTACAGCACAGACTGGCTGCGGGGAAGGCAAACTCTCCTCGTTCCTAGGGTGCCGGCCACCACAGGACAGGAAACCTCCTTGTCTCAGCATGCTTTGAGACCCCCCCCCCCAGCCCCATACCGCCCCGCAAACAGAATAACCTGCCTAAGACACTGGCTGTGTCCGTGTCTGGTGGGATGCTGTCAGATCTCACTTGGGTCTCATCTGCAAACCTCACGTTAGCCCAGTTTCACCCAGCTGCCCCAGTCCGGCTTAGTCAAGTCCCTCCACGCCAGCCTCTCCAGTCCATCCCAGGCTCTCCCCTTCCCCTGGAAGGAATAGGGGAGGAGGAGAAAGAAGGGAGGAGGAGAAGGGTCAGCAGCCTCCTGGAGGAGCAGTGGACTAACCTCTGCCTTCCCTGACCTGGGCTCCCCTGGCCCTCTCCATCCTTCCTGCACTCTGCCTGGGGGGCTTTCTGAAACCCCTCCCTTTGGCTGTGCAGGAGAGCTGTGTGGAAGGTCCTGCATTTCTGAGGGGAAAAGGGAAGCTGGCTACAGAAGGTAGCCTTTGAGCTGGGTCTTAAAAAAAAGAACTCAGGAACAGAGCAAGAAGGAGCATGGACAAGAGGGGGAGGAAAGAAAAGGCCAAGCATGACCTAGTCATCACAGTGGCTCGCTGCAATTAGGGAGTGAGGCCAGATGGGGGCGTGCGATCCCTGGAGGGGGGCCTGACACTCAGTGGCCGACTGATGGGCAGCCATCTCACTGCTGCCCACTTCCGGCACTGGGGCTTGGAATGCCTTCCCATTTCCTAGCCTTCCCAGCCTCACCCAAATTCCTTCTGCCCTGTAAAGCCAGATGGCCTCCCTTCCTCTGAATACCTACTGTTTTAACCACAAGCATGTGACTATATATATCTTCTATAACCTAACTAAATCAACAAAATTCCACTGGGGTCAGGACCATGTTTTCTAAGCGGTGGTCCGCCACCTCCTAACGTTATTCAGGGCCTGGGCACGTGCCTGTGTTCCACTGGGTTCTTCTGCCTGCCCAGCCCCCGCTCCTCCCCTAGTCTCTGCCTACCCCCCGCCCCCGACAGGACCCCCCCACACACACACCTTGTCGGCAGCCTCTCCCACCCAGCTCACCGGAGGTATGTGCAGGGCCTCCCTGTAAAACACCTGGATGTCCCAGTAGCCGAACAGGTTGCAGACTGAGCGAAGCAGCTGTAACAGCCAGAAGGCCGCAGCCAGGGTCAGCAAGAAGACCAGCAGGGGGCTGGAGCGGATCCTGTGTGGGGTGGGACAGATGGCAGTGGGAAAGTGGGGGCCCAATAGAAAGGGAGACCAGACTTGGGGAGAGATGGAAAAGTCACAGAGAGGGGGACCTAGCTACACCAGTGGTTCTCAAAGTGTACACCCTAGGAGTCCGTGAGTCCTTACAGGTGTCTGCAAGGTCCAGACTTTTTCCAGAACACTGAGGCTTTCTGCCGTTTTCACGCTCATTCCCTCAGGAGGGTACAATGGGCCTTTCCAGAGGTTATGTGTGTGACCCCATGTCTTCAGCCAATGGACTGTGTGCTTCTGCACTCTTAGATTGTAAAGTTATTCTCAGCTTTAATCTCTAATTAGGTAAATATAGATAGATACGATTCTCATAAACAAAAGCTCTTGGGTGTTCCTGATCAAGTTCAAGTGTATTAAAGGTGTATCTTTAAAGTATTAAAGACCCAAAACCTGGAGAACTGCTGAACTGCTGATTCAGACCAAGGGACAAAAGGACTGGGGCGGGGGGGGGGGGGGCGGTTCTTGCCTGCTCATCTCCCCTAGCCTCTCCCCCATCCAGCTGTCACTCACCGCTGGGCACACTGGGAGGAGGACAGGATGGCATCTGCCAAGGTTATTTTGTTGTGGAGCAACCCAGGTCTCGTCCGGTTGTTCAGGTGGTTGGCGAAGAGGATGTTGTAATCCACACACCGAAGGAGGAAGGTTGTGAAGGTGACAATGAAGACGAATTGTCTGGGAGACAGGAGCGCAGTGGTCAGCCTCCAGGCCAGCCCTGGGGGGTCCTCCCCACCCTGCGGAGCCCCCCTGGGCTGCTGGGGGTTGGGGGGAGTGGCTGTGCTGGGTGGACCAGAAGCAGACACTACTGAGGAAGCAAGACGGCAGAGCTTAGGGGTGGGACAAGCATCTCACCCCAACTGGAAGACATCCTCCAGCAGGATGCAGGCAAAACCATTCCTCTGATGATAGCTGTAGACGTGGCGGTGCGTCAAGAAATAAACCTGAGGCATGACGGCCCTTTCCTGAGAACCCCTCCCTCAGTCCTCCAAAACAGCATGCTCAGAGCCTCCCTGCCAAGAACAGCCCCCTCCCCTCCCCCACCCCATGCCACTGAAGCCAGGCCGAGCACAAAGGATATCTTGGTGAAGAAGCTGTCCAGATTTTGGATGTGGTGCCAGGAACCTGGGTACAGAGGAGAGACTGCTGGGACTTGGCTGTCCCCTGAGTGACCAGTTCACACCTCAGGAGCCCCAGTCCCTCCCCAACACACTCCCCTCACAGCCCCGCACCCACACTTACCTCGGAGCCCTTCGGGCACGTGGAGCAGGGGTTGCTGGTCTTCCCCGTGGACGGGTGAATCTTGGGACCCTTCAGGGTCACAGTCTTCCAGCCGTTCATAATCCTGCTCAGGGATCAGAGGGCCTATCCGCAGCCCAGGAGGGTCCTGGGGGCATCGGCGTGAGGGAGGGGGAGTCACTGAGGCCAGGGGTGGGTCGGAGTGAGAGCCCCAAGAGGGGGGAGCAGAGGTGGGGGTCATCGTGGACTGTGCCTGTGTTGTTGGGGTGGGGAGGGCACTGTGGCGAGGCTGAGAGGCCCCTGGGGCCTGCACCGCTGGGCAGGGGGGTCCCAGGGCCAGAGGGGGAGCTGAGGAAGGAGAGCTTCTTGTGTGAGGGGCAGGGGACAGAGAGAAGATGGAAATCCTCCCTCCGCCAGGCCCCCGACATGGAGGAGGAGGAAGAGGAGGCAGTGGCATGGGGAGGAGAGGCACCGATCCAGGGCCCAGGTCTCCCCACCGCCCCAGACGCCCTCTGCTCCCCCCCCAGCCCATTCGCCTCACCATCAGACCACTAGCTTCTCTGGAAAGCTTGGAAGGACAGGTGCTGGCGCTGCTTCCACAGAGGTCTGGGGCGCTGAGCAGGGACTTCAACAAGGATAGTGACAACAACAGCGCAGTGACTCAGTCGGGGCAGGCCTCAGGCGTCCCAGCTCGCAGTCACCTGTCTGACCACTCACAACCCTTCCAGGGCAATCTGCGGCCAACTGGCTCGGGGCCAAGCCTCTGTGCCTGGGAGGGGTGTAAGCCAAAGAGGCAGGGGCTAAAGATATTGCAGACCAGAGAACTGTCCCCCAACTGACCACCAATTGTCCCCTCCCCAGACCTCGAGTGGGTTTAAAGGCAAGGCCAGAGAGTAGCAGCCAAAATAACACAGCAAAAAGGAACTCCTATCAGAGGAGTATAAGACTATAAGGCCGAGATGTTAAATCTTTGATTCCTTAAAATCTTGTCTCCCTTCCCCCGACGTACTCCCCAAAGATCAACAGAGAAATGCTTTAAGACCAAAAGCAAAAAGAAGAAAAAGGAAAGAGATGGTGTTCCGTTTGTCTGGTGGTACAAAGGGAAGAGGGGAGACTGCCCGCCTTCGCAGCCAGGCTGGAGGAAACTTGAGGAGGGGGAGGCAGAGGAGAACGGAGAGGCAGCTATCCTGGATATGGGAAGCAGTTTGGAGAGCTTACACTCGAAAAGTCTCTTTGGCGTTCTATTTTTTTTTTTTTCTTCATCCCGTTTAACACGGAAAACCCTCACCCCCAGTCCTGATCCAGTTTTGGGGGGCCAGTGAGCAGCATCAGAGCTGAACCAGCAGAGGGCAGCTGGGGGGAACGGGGTTTGGAAGGGTAATTTGAATACCCAGGCATGAGCTGGCTGAGTTGAGTTCCTTGTTGCCACTTCTACGAGGAGGAGGAGACAGCTAGTTTGTTGGCATGTCCGACGCCATTCCTGAGGCCCTGAATCACCAGGTTTCCTACTGAACGCCATTCCTGAGGTGCTGAGTCAGCCACCCAGGTGTCAGGGCCTCTGGGGCTCAGGCCTGAGGACTGTTGTAGGGGACAGTATCCATGAAATACAGAGAGAAACAAAGTGTGTCAGGAGCGTTCACTGGAGGAATGTGGTGGCAATCATGGAATTGCCCACAAAATGGGAGTCCAGACACGCCTGTTTTTCTCCTGTGCTGCCTTCCAGGGATGGGGATTGTTATAGTAGCTCAGAGCTTGCATCATTTTATCCCTGAGCCACAGGAGGCAGAGCTATGAAAACGAGATTCCCTCCTTCTGGAGGGGGCATCCTAGTGCCCAAGATGGAATCCTGCATTGCAGAGCGGCTAGGAAATTCCCATCTCTCCGAGACAGCTGCCAGGGTGAGTTTTGTAGGCTTTGCCCGATCTCTCCTCAACCTCACTCACCCCAATATTCCACCACACTCACATTAGGATCCTTCCCATACTCCTAGCCTAACTTCAAGCTAATCTGGCACCTTCTTCTGCCCAGTTCCAGCCCAGGCTCATCAATGGACAGCCTCCCTATCACACCCTAATTCAAGTGAATTTATTATATAAAGGGCACTTTTCAGGGCACCTGGGTGGCTCAGTCATTGAGCATCTGCCTTCGGCTCAGGTCATGATCCCAGGGTCCTGGAATCAAGTCCAGCATCGGGCTCCCTGCTCAGCAGGAAGCCTGCTTCTCCCTCTCCCACTCCCCCTGCTTGTGTTCCCTCTCTCCTTTTATCTCTCTCTGTCAAATAAATAAACAGAATCTTTTTTAAAAGAGGGGGCACTTTTCTCTGCCAGGCACTTGGAGGGGAAGGAGGGTATGGATAAATGAGGAGCCACTACCCAGAAAGAAATCACAGCCCATGAGGGCTGTAGCTATGCAAAAAATCACACAGAAGAAATAAATTAATGCTCAACAGAGATACAGAACTGTGCGGTGGGAGCCTTAGGCAAGTCACTTGACTGCGGTGAGGAAGGCATCTATGTGGGGGGGGGGGGCGGGAAGGATCTGGTGTTGCGCCTCCATAAGCTCTACAGGACGTCCACACTAGTGGTTCTCAATCATTAAGGGACGTGTATCAGAATCATCAGGGTAGTTTTTTCCCCAATACACGTGGCTGCCGCCCCTGGAACTCTGACCTGCCTGGGAGAAAGGGGCGGGTGACAAGGAGCGTGAAGATATTTTGAAAAAATTCCCCAGTTTTGTCCCTTCCTCCCCGAGGACCGGCACTCTACACTCCTTGGAGACCCCGGGACATCTGGAGTCCGCCGGCAGCACCCATAGAACAGCCCCGAGGTCAGCGGCTGGAGCGTTACTATGGATACCCCACCGCAGAGGGGCGCCCGGGTCACACACTTGTAAGGTCACCCCAGAGCTGACCCCGGCAGTGGACGCGAGGCAATGCCCCCATCTGATCAGCCCCGCCCAGCCTGGGCGGGCAGGCAGGCGGCTGTCTCCAATCACAGTTCCGGAAGGAGGAGGACCGAAAAGGCTTCCTCCAATCACAGTCTTCGGAGGGATTGACGCGTCTTTCCGCCAGTCGTCGCCGAGGCGCGAAGGGGTTGTCGGGATGGGGGCGGGAGCCAACATGGAGCCCTCAATGGGATGAGGGTGAAGCTGCCGTTGCCGGCTGCTCGTGTAGTCTCGTCCCATCATGTTGGTGCACTTATTTCGGGTCGGGATTCGGGGTGGCCCTGTCCCAGGCAGGCTGCTACCACCCCTCTGCTTCCAGACATTCTCGGCCGTCAGGTAAAAAGTGGCAAAGCTCCTAGGAGCGCGGGCCGTTGACCGGCGGGCCGTCCGTGGGGCCCGCCGGGAGATGGAGTCCCGGACTCGCGCGAGGCCTGCCGGAAGTTGTAGGCCGGCCCGTGGGTGGAATGTCACTCCCCGGGGCTTGGTCTCAATTATTTATAGCGACGACCCAGGTGCCAGCCGGAGACTCGGTGCGTCTGTATCCGTGTGTGGGCTGGACGGAGGGCACGCTCTAGGTCGGTGACCACACCAGGTCCGTACTTCCCACCAGAGGGCGTCATGCCGCACCTGTTGAGCCTTGGGGTCGCCGCCGTTCCTGCCCCCTTCCTGTCCTGGTTCTTGGAATTGGTCTGGCAATTTGGACAAAAATTATGAATGCCCAGAGACATTTAGTATTGGTGCTGCTCCCGAGATTCAATATGAGCTGAACATAAATGGTTCCTAAATCTGGATACGTTCAGCAGAGATAAAGTCAATCTAGAAACGCGTCCATGTGTGTTCTTGTGTGTTCCCTCTACACATGCTGGTTCAAAGAGAGAGACACACGCAGGGAGGAAAGGAACGTGGACCCTGAAACTACGGCTCCAGTGTAAATGCTTTATGAGAAAGGACTGATTCCTTTCGCATCCTGGAGTGAATAACCTGCAGGCAGCCAGGCAGCCGACTGGCGGTGGTGGGTGGATGTGAACTTGGGTCATTTGGAAAGCCTATATGATTGAAAGGGAGCAGGAGCCGGGCCAGGCTGGAGCTAGAAGCACTGTTGCCGGGAAGTAATCCGCCAGTTCTTGGCAGTGACCAAGCCCTGCTTAGAGTCTTAGTTTGGAGAAGATGAGAGAAGCTGGAAGGTAGCCATGGTGAATTATTAAAAAGTTTGAAAACAGTCCTTAGGAAAAGAGTTAGGGGTTGATATCGTTTAAACCAGAGAGAAACCCAGGGAAAGACGTCAAATAACATCCAAATATTTGTGTGTTCACAAGTGCAGTGTCTTTCAAACGTGCAGGTCACAACAAGAGATCATAAAACAAATTTAGTAGGTCAGGACCATTTAGGAGTGAATATAATAGTAGACGCCTATAGAGCATGTGACTTTTGATCTCAGGGTCGTGAGTTCAAGCCCTAGGCAAGGAGTGGAGCCTACCTTTAAAAAAAAAAAAAAAAAGTGAGTGGCTCAGTTGGTTAAGCGACTGCCTTCAGCTCAGGTCATGATCCTGGAGTCCCGGGATCAACCCTCCCCCCCTCTCATGCTCTCTCTCTCACTCTCTCTCTCTCAAGCAAATAAAATCTTCAAAAAACTTGTTTTAAGAAGTGAATATAATAGAATACATGCGCAACAAATTAGGGAAAGTATTGTTTTGTGAAACATTTCAATTTTGTCTGACATGTTTATTGTCCTGGGTGGCAATGCACAACATATCTCTTATTGTTGGCCTCAGTAAGTCTGAAACTTTGCAAACAGTACAGTAGCAGGTCAGGTCAAATTTTTCTCTTCTGCCTTTCCAATGAGGGCATGCACTCAACAAACAGAAGCATTTGCTGGACATCTGCTATGTGCAAGAGCTCTGCTAAGTGCTGGGAATGCAACATGAATGGAGTAGAGGTTCCTGCCTCAAGGAATGTAAAGTCTAATGGGGAAATCGGAAGCAGGGTGAGCTTCCCTGTCTAAAATTTAAGATAGGCCTAAAGTACACAGTGGAAAACAAGACATAAAAACTGGGCAGCTGGAATGGGATGGAAGGAGGCATAATAAGAGGTGGTAAGAAGCCACCCAGGCCTCCCTGGAACAAGGGAAGGATGAGGGAGAGATGCAGTTAGCAGCGCCCGAAAATATGACAGACTATCAGAGTAAAGGGAAAACCTCATTCTATTCATTTTTTATTATTATTTTTAAAGATTTTATTTATTTATTTGACAGAGATCACCAGTAGGCAGAGAGGCAGCCAGAGAGTTCAGGGTGAAGCAGGCTCCCCGCTGAGCAGAGACCCTAAGGCGGGGCTCGATCCCAGGACCCTGAGATCATGACCTGAGCCAAAGGCAGAGGCTTAACCCACTGAGCCACCCAGGCTCCCCTCTGTTCATTTTTTAAAAGCCCCCTCATCAGTAAGGTCATTTGAATCTTTTTTCCCCCAAAGGGAATTTTTTTAAGATTTATTAGAGAGAGCATGCACGAAAAGGGGGAGGGCCGGAGGGAGAAGGAGAAAGAATCTTTAAGCAGACTCCCCACCAAGCATGGAGCCCAGCACATGGGGCCCAGCACATGGGGCT